CACCTTTCCCTTGGAGAAACAGGAACTTGGTTATGGTCCTATGCTCCTCCACATTGAACTTTTCTGGAAGTGCCGCCTTGTTTGGATCAGAAAATGAAAGTTAAGTTAAAATCATAGGTAGTTGATTTTTGCACCGTTGAATATAGACAAATTAGCCAATACACCCTGCAATTTATAGCTTCCTAGCTCAATTTTTTCTGGGTAAGACTCAATGCTTATCAGCACCCCCTCGTAGTAGCAGAGCCACTCACTCTGGACAGCAAACAAATCATAATAACACAAAAGACACAAAAAACACCCACATAATGGGTAAATGTGAAACATAATAACAAAAAAACTAGTGAAAAAGAAATATAAAGTAACTAGTAAAAAGGAAATATAAAATATTTAGTACAACAATATTAGGTGGTGAAAACAGGGCAGGTACATAAACAGAAGGCAGGGGGGGAGCCCCATCAATCAGCAAAATTAAAGCAATCTTTCTGTCTGTCAGGGAATCGCTTTAGCTCAGAGCAAAAAAAAAAAGTAGGCCTATTGTTGGACCCGATTTAGCTCAGAGCAAAAAAAAAAAAAGTAGGCCTATTGTTGGACCCAAATGTCCAGCTATGACATAGATCTGGGTTCGGATGGAACACTATTCCCTGTATGTCATGTGATCAACTGATGGCAAACCCAAATCTGTTACTGAGTTCTCTCAGTGGCTTCATTTAGATATTAAACAGCAGGGGAGAATTGAGTAGAATCTGTTGATAGTGTGTACCTCAATCTTTATGGGTCTGAAGAGAAATCTCCTAACGCCACTGTCTGGAATGGTAGGATTTCTGTCTTAGGAACCAAAATCGCCTTGCGAGAATGCATCTTTATTAGGGGCGGGGGGAGGTACTCCACCTCAGGGGGGTAAAATTTCTTGGGAATGAGATCTAAATCCAATGGCATCCTTACTGGGTCCTTACCCAGTTTCAATAAAGTAAGGATGTAATCACTGTAACACAGTCATTTTTTTTATCCCACTCTGAAAAATTAGCTCAAGAGGAGACCAGGATCCATAGAATCAGAGAAGTCAAAGTATGTCCACCAGGCCATCCTCCTCCCACTCACCCCTCCACGGAGCAGGCCATTCATCAAGGCAGCCCAAACCATGTCAGTAGCAGACCTTGGCTGCATCCACACTGAAATGGCACCACTGGATAATGTTCTAAAAACTAATGCAAATTTTCAAATGCTCAGAGTCTCATCCTCCCAGGTGGGAACTAGTTGTTTTTCTACGCGTATTACCTGCCTGTGATTTGGAGTGGGAAGCTCTCCAAGACCATCTGAAACTGTCCAGCCATCACAAGTTTGGCAAGCCCTTGTCCCAAAAGGAGGCATCCGCAATAGGACGAGAGCTCTTGCAGTTCAGAGAGGTCCTCTTCAGGAAAGGGAGCCCCACCACCTACCTCTTTTTAAAGCTTCTGGCAGCAATGAAACATTGCTCTCTCCTCCTGGAGCCACCTGATCAAATCTTATCATAGTCCAGGTGGGCAAAAGTCGAGCTTACACGCAGTGGAACTGCCTGATTCAAGTGTTGTTTATAAAACAGTGCATGATGTTGTGAAAAGCTATAGGGAGATTTTTTTTTCTCTCCCTCTTTCTAACCATACCAGATCAGAGAGGTGGGCAGAGGTGTAACATTTGTGGAAATTTTAAAGCCATATAAAATGGCTTTGGGGGAAAATTGGGGGGGACTGTTTTCTTCCCCATTTTTCCATTTCCCCCCCCCCAGGCCTTCCTATCTCTAATGACAACATAACATGCTTGTGGCTCTGGAAGAACCATGAGGAGAGATGGGAAAGTCTGGGGGGAAATGGAAAAATTGGGGTGGGAAATAGGTTTTTTCCATCCATTTTTTCTCAAAGCCGTTTTATATAGCTTTAAAATTTCTGGATATTTTACATCTAGATCCCTGGAGTAGGTGGATAAAGCACCCATATCCACCCAGTCCATGAGCCACCTCAGCTCATAACACTATAACACAGCATCATTCAAAGGAGTTTGCCATGAAGGGAGGTTCCAGACAGAAGCATTGGGGGGGGGGGTCTACGCAGCCCATATTTAAATGGTGATGTTTGCCAATGCAAGATATACTGAGGGCCATCAACATGGATGGCTTTAAAAGGGAGCTAGGCATATTCACGGAGGATAAGTCTTTTGATAGCTACAACACCATCATGCAACATCATGCAACACAGTCCCTTATTGCTCCCAGTAACAAGGGCATTGTGCCTTACTCTGGATCTATCAGTTTCTGGGAAACTTCCCTGCTGCCCTTCTCCTCTGCACTTAGCAGGATACTCATGCTCCCAGTAACAAGGGCATCGTGCCTTACTCTGGATATATCAGTTGCTGGGAAACTTCCCCTGATGCCCTTCTCCTCTGCACTTAGCAGGATACAGTGGCTGAATGCAAAGGTTGTGGCTGAACACACAGGGTCTATATGATTGTTGCTCCTCTGCTTAGCCTGTTGCCCATATTAAGCCTCTGACCAACCCGAACATCTTTAAAATGTGCTTTATTTTTCTATACTGAAAGAGACAATCTCATACAATTAAAAACTGTTCAAATAACTGCTCCATGACCTCAGGAGTCTATTTATGTACCCAGAATAAGAACCTCTGGGGTACCATCTTACTTTCACCACCCTCGATTGGCCGTTTGTTTGGCTTGAGAGAAAAATATGCAAGGATACTAGCCTAAATCGGATTGGTAGGCCCAAACAAAGTAGACCCATAAATCAACTGCTGAACTGTAAGACAGCACATAAAGTAAACCCCACTGAGTCAATGGCTCTAACTTGAGTTGTGACTCGCCCCGGGATTTTGATCCCCACCAAGAACTTTCACTCCTTCAGGTGGAACACATGCCCCCTGCCCTCAGTACAGATTATTTTGCTGGTGGGAACTAGTTGCTATTTTCTCTCAATGCCTGGGGTTATTGTGCTTCCTGAGACAAAAAAGTCCGTGTCTGCATCTCTCTCTGTGTGTGTGCGCGCCCGCGTTCACACCTGCTTCCCATCCTCTGTGCTAAGCTGAGTCTTTGTTGGGGGGAGCAAAAGGGAAAAAGAAAAGTGGGGGGGGGAGATGGTGCAGAAAGAGAGAGAAAGAAATCCAGGAGGGGTGTGTGTGATGAGGAAAGGGGGGGAGCGGGAACTAGAAAAGGGCAGAAAGGAAAGAATCGGAATCAGCAGATCTGTCTGTTTGTTAATGGATGCTGGGGGGGGGTGAGCGGCGGCGGGAGGAGTTGCCCGTCCTGGGCTCTCCCTCCCCACCCGTCTCTACCCGTCCGCCCGCTCGCCTCCTGCTTGCACTCCAATCCTCTCCAAAGCCGGGTGCATTAAAGCGCGAGGATTTTCCGAGCGGATTTCCCTGCCCGCCGTTGCGCTGCCATCTCTAATTCCAGCGGGCGCCCAGCGGC